CTGCTTATACTCAACCCGGCCTGCAAGTCCCCACGAAGACACAGTATTTCCAAAAGGCCCTTATTCTTGATACCAGAGCTTCTCCATGAACCAGAAGGATAGTTCTGGAACATGATACAAGAAAAAGACACAGTAGATTCCAGGAGTGTTCAAAACAAAACAAAACAAAAAAATTGACCAGGATTTATTTGTAAGGACACAACACAGAAGTAAATATAACACATTTTACCTCTACTTTAGAGATGGGAGAATACTTCGATAAGACCACACCCTGGATTATGAAAACTGCACATGTGTACAGATGACATGGACGGAAGCCTTTTATTTCCATGTTGCCTGATACTATCCAGGTGCTATGATCAGAGGTTGAAGTGATACTCACTGGGAGCTCTGAACTATGATAGTCCCTAAGAAGGAGTAGCCATAGTAAAAGTAGTTCTAGATGGTATTCTGCATGTGTATGTTAACTGATTTCATCTTTCTATAAACCCTAGGAGGTATATAATATTTTCAGCCCATTTTATACATAAAGGAACAGAAGCATAGAATTGATAAGATTATACAATTATTAATATTTGGACCTGGGATTTGGACTCAGGTAGTCAGTCTTTAGAGATTGTGCTCTTAATTTCAGGAATTTCAGGGGCCAGCAAACTTTTCTGTAAAGGGCCACCTAGTGAATAGTGTATTTTTTCATAGAAAAAATACTACATGACTTTTCTAATAACCCAATATATGCCTATAATACTATTGAACTGTGTTGACGAAATAATCCACAATTTTGACTTTCTCTCTCATTTTGTCTGACCTTATTTGACTTGGCTACATTTTCAAATTAGCCTTCCTCTTAGTGAGTCTGTCATTGGACATGTAATAAAGGATTGTCAGAATGGAATAAGAAGGCCCAGAGGTGCAATGGTAGTTAAGGTACTGGACTCCCACATGACCAAGTGTGGTGTGAGTACCCGACCTGGCAACTTGCTTTCTCACTACTTCCCTCCACTGCTTCCCCCTATCTCTTTCTATTAAACTGTAAAGTAGTAATAATAATAATAATTAATAAAATTAAATAATTATTTAAAAAACAAAAAAGAAAGAATGGGGGTGAGCAGGAGTGTGGTGGTTAAGGGCGCTGAACTCCCACATGACCAACCATGGTTTGAGTCCCAGACCTGCTGGTCTTGCTCTCTCATTTTCATCTCTCTGTCCCTCTCTGATCAATTACAATAAAATTTTCATCTCTCTGTCCCTCTCTGATCAATTAAAATAAATAAATAAAAATAAAGTTAAATAAAATAATTCTGTTTTTTTTTTTTTTTTTGGAGAGATTTTTGCTATAGGGTGTGTGTGCTTGCCAGGAAGACAGAGAGAGACAGAGAGACAGAAAGCAAGAAATCACCTCCCCCCCTCAGGGGGGATGACCACGCCGCAATCCCTTCTCCTCCATTCTCCTCTCGGGATCTTGGGCACGCGTGCACATGTGCCCATCGTGAGTTTAAGCCACCGGCTCTGGGTCTCGAACCGCGGTCAACTACATGGGAGTTCAGCAACATAGCCATTACGCTAACTGCTGGTCCCCATAAAATAATTCTTAAAAAAATATATGATTGGAATCAGAGCTCTGTTCCAGGCACTTTTAATCTCTCACTGGCTTTATCTCCAGGTTGTATTTTCACACTGGAGGTGACTTTAGGCAGTATGGTAGTAAATTAGAGGCTCTTCTTTCTTTGGCTGACTAGACACAAAAACATTTATCACTGAAACTTTTGGTTTGTTGCTTTTCTGAGAACTGACACTTGGGAGGTCACACTCATTTAGGCAGTTTTGCTGGTAGAAATTTACCAAGAACATGGCATATAATCCTGTACCATTTATCATTAAGGCTTAAAATAGCTCATAAAAAGACATGATTCATGAAATTGATTCATATTCATGCTTTCTAGGAACCTGCTATGTGCTTGGTGATTTAGAATGGTACCACACATTTCAGACTAGGCTGCTAGAGGAGAAACCACTGTAAGTTATTAGATTTGCTCGAGGTAAAATCTTGGACTTGCATACAAATCCTGGTCAGTTTTTTTTTTTTAAAACACTCCTACGATATGTAAGACATAACCCATACTCGTTGATAACTTTAAGAAGTCATTGGTTTGGTTATTTCAGCATAAAACTCAAAATTAAGTGTTTCCCAATTATTTTGACCATAATTCAAGGTAAAAAAAAAATACCCCCAAAATTACATAACTCGGTACATATCTCTACATGTATCTTTCTATTTATTTATTATTTTAAATATTTTATTTTTAATTGTATTTAATATTATTATCATTTTTAAATTTGCCATAGGGCATGCACACTCACCAGAGAGAGAGGGGGAAAGTGAGAAGCAAGCTGCCAGGTCTAGGACTTGAACTGCGGTTGGCATCTACAAACCTATTTAAAACAAAAACAAAAGTTTGGAAGCAATACCACTTTTACTGCATTTGAGACATTTCTACTGTTTTCTATTCTGTTCTATTTCATTCCATTTTTCTTATAATTTTGTCAGAGGTTGTATACTCTCATCAGAAAGAGGGGAGAGGGGAGGGAGAAAGTCTCCCTCCTTCTGGATGGTCACACTGCAGTCCCTTCTCCATCTCTCTTTTCAGGATTTTAGGCATGCACAAACAGGTGCCAGCATGTTTCTCAAGCCACTGGGTCTGGGACTCAAACCACACAAGCGACCATGTGGGGTTCAGTTGCCTTAACAACCATGTCATGGACTGGCTGGCCCTCATTTAAATTCCTAATGCTTCTTATGACTGCTAAATTTATTTCATAATTCCTCAATGGTCTTGACCTATAGATTGAAAAACACTGTCTCTATGACCCCTGAAGGCTCAGGCTACTCCCCTGTGTGTCCTTATATTGGGTCACGTTTTTCTATGCAAAAATGTGTCATGACTTTTCCAGTGACTCAGTAGCTAGGTATGACTTACTTGCTGAGAACGAACTAGGTGGAAATCACTCTGCTAGACTCTGGAAACTGCACAATTACTCCTTCAATGACCTAAAGTAAGAATTTTCTTAGGAGGCAGGGAATCCAGAGTGAGCAAAATGGCATATGTGGGGACTCAAAAGCTCATAGAAGAATAGAATTCAAGTACAAGTTGATTATGGTACAATAAACTTAGAGATCTCTTTAATGATATGCGTTTTCCATAAGCTTCTTAAAGATCCCTCATACAATCTCTGCCCTCACAGAGTTGATGCTCTAGTGGTTGAAATAAACTCCTAATACAAGGAATTTGGGGAAATAAGTCATTCAGCTGAGTAGCTATGTTAAGTAAGTACACAGCTTTATTAGCACTTTCTAAGTTAAAGGCATGTTCTTTTGGGGCCAGCAGGTGGCATGTGGGTATGGCAGCTAGATTCCCACATGGCCAACTGCTGTCTAAGTCCTGGACCCGGTAGTTTGAAAATCATTTGGGGAACATGTGCGTGCATGCCCAAATCCCAAGGGCAGAATGGGGGAGAATGTGGCATGGCCATCCCCTGGGGGGAGAGGGTAATTTCTCACTTCCTGTCTCTCTCTGTCTCTCTGGTAAGTACACATACCCTATAGCAAAAATCTCTCTCTCTGAGAAAAAAAAAAAGAAAAACAAGGAACAAAGTCATTTTCTCAAGGTCATCAAGGGAAGAAACCAAAGATTGCCACTTGCCAGTGACAGTCTCTGCTCTGTCCTTCTTAGAACAAAGCACTTCATGGGCACTGACCAAGAGATGATGCTTCCTGTAAATGAGACATTTATTGCTTACTGTTAGAAACAGAAATTTGTAAAGGTAGATGTGGCAGTTGATAGCTTCAGAGCACCTTTTAGTAAACCTCTATCCACAGGCGCACACAGCCTAATCTGTTAGATATCTGTAGCTTGAAGATTGGTTCATTCTGTACATTTATGGGCATAATGGTTTCCTATTTGGGAAAATTGAAATCATTTAGATACAGAAAAGGGTTGTAGTGAGAAAAGAGGCGAAAACATTTTTAAATTGCCACTCTTCCATAGAGCCATATGCGCCTAGAACTAAATCTCTGCAATTCTATCACCACTCTTCTTAACATTCAGTAGGAGCTTGAGTTTTTCATTTATTTTTGTGACTAATCTATAAGTCTCTCTCTTTATAAAGCCCTCAATAGACTTTAAAAGATAGAGGTTCCCTTTTTACTCTATTATTACTCTATCTCCAGCACTAACCACTCTGATTAATACACACTATGTGTTCAGTAAACTTTATTAGATGAACAAAGTGGCTTTTTTTTTCTTTTTTTAGAGGTTTTTGCTATAGGGCGCATGTGCTTGCCAGAAAGACAGAGAGAGACCGAGAGAAAGAAAGCAAGAAATCACCCCCCAGGGGAGATGGCCATGCTGCAATCCCGTCTCTTCCATTCTCCTCTCAGGATCTTGGGCATACACACACACGTGCCTGGCGTGAGTTTAAGCCACTGAGTCTGGGACTTGAACCGCTGTCAGCTACATGGGAGTTCAGTGACATAGCCATTATGCTAACTGCTGGTCCCTGAAATAAAAGTTTTTTAAAAGAGTAATATTGATGGCAATCTGATAGTTTGTCAAGCAGAAGAAATGGACCAAGAAGATACTATGTATATATCTGTTGAACAAGATTCTACACGAGAATCCCCCCCCCCCCCAGAGGGGATGGCCACGCCACAATCCCTTCTCCTCCATTCTCCTCTTGGGATCTTGGGCAAGCACGCACACGTGCCCGGCGTGAGTTTAAACCACCGGGTCTAGGACTTAAACCATGGTTGGCTACATGGGAGTCCAGCGACATAGCTATTACGCCAACTCCTGGTCCCACAAATTGGCATTTTAAGGTAGCCTATAATGCTGTTTGAAACAAGGTGCTTCAGGTTAGCCCCATCTTCATTTATCATTTATTAGCTACTAAGAGGTAATTGATAATCACTCATGATGTTCTTCTGTTTTGTTGTTTTACAGTCAACTTTGACCACTTTGAAATTTTGCGAGCCATCGGGAAAGGCAGTTTTGGGAAGGTGAGCATGGAAATGATTAACCACCAGCAGGGTTACGTAGCCTGGGGAACAGGGGGTTGGAGAATGTTCAGATATTGAATTACTGGGACCACATGGAAAGATAATTCAGAGAAGATGTGTTTATAATGGATTTTTATAATATTGTCACCTCAGTTTGAGGAAAAAGTGTGACAGGCAGCTTCATAGTGCACATATACTGTGCTCAGAATTATCTTGTTAAACACAGATGTGCTTACTCTCACCCGAGTTTAAGATATTTTTCTCCACTCTAAAGGAGATCGAGACTTCCGAATCATTTTCAAATTGTACCAGCTACCTCTCCAGTTATAATTATCTTGTCATTGTGAGTTAATTCTGTTCAATTGGAAAGGCAGGCACCTGACTTCTATTTCTTGCATCATGTTTTTCTCTTTAAAAATCTACAGTGAATGGGACCAGCAGTTAGCGTAATGGTTATTTCGCTGGACTCCCATGTAGCCGACCACGGTTCGAGTCCCGGACCCAGTGGCTTAAACTCATGCTGGGCACGTGTGCATACATGCCCAAGATCCCAAGAGGAGAATGGAGGAGAAGGGATTGTGGTGTGGCCATCCCCCCTCTGGGGTGACTTCTCGCTTTCTATCTCTCTGTCTCTCTCTGTATTTCCGGCGAGCGCATGCGCCCTATAGCCAAAAAAAGAAAAAAATAAACAAAATAAACAAAAAAAACTCTCAAAAAAATCTACAGTGAATAATATATATATTCAGGGGGCCAGCAAGTGACATAGTGGTTAAGGCACTGAACTCTCACATGGCCAACCACAGTTCGAGTCTCTGACCCAGTGGCGTGAAAATCATGCTGGGTATGCGAGTGTGCCCAAAATGTTAAGAGGAGAACGGAGGAGAAGGGATTACAATGTGGCCATGCCCCTGAGGGGTTGATTTCTCTTCCTCTCTCTGTCTCTGTCTCTCTCTAGTTAGCACACAGGCCCTATGGCAAAAACCTTTAAAATTATACATCTGCTGTCTAAATTTGTTGTAAATACCTTCTAGATTCAAACCCCAATTATCAGTTTCTCCGTGGAGACACTCTTGAAAATAATATTTCTATTTCACATTAACCTGGCATTTTAAAATCATCTGCTATCTGCTTTATCAAGTATTATATGAATTATGAATGGAATTTCAAAGACATGATTATATTTAATATTATATTGAGATGTGATTATACTTAGTATTCTCCGTGCTGAGTCCTTTTTGTTTATATCACCTATAGACATAAACAGAAATTCTTTGTACAACACTCTTCAGCTTCACAATTTAGTCACGTCCATTTCACTCACTCATAGCAGGATTAAGGATGTTATTTGCTATTGGAAGATTCCTGACTTGGAGGCAGCTATTTTCTCTAAAATGCTGTCTGATAAGCCCCCAAGTAGAAGCACACACATTTTTTTTTTTTTTTGAGAGGTTTTTCACTATAGGGCACATGCGCTTGCCAGACAAAGACATAGAGACAGAAAGCGAGAAATCACCCCCCAAGGGGGGATGGCCACGCCGCAATCCCTTCTCCGTTCTCCTCTTGGGATCTTGGGCACGCATGCACACGCGCCCGGCGTGAGTTTTAAGCCACCAGGTCCGGGATGCAAACTGCGGTCAACTACGTGGGAGTGCAGCGACATAGCCATTACACTAACTGCTGGTTCCCAACATTTGTTTGAGAAAGCAAATTTAATCATTGACCTGGTGCATGGGAAGAAATTAAATATTTACTGTAAAATCAGAAGCAAGGGGGGTGTGGGGGGGAATCTTTAACATCAGAAAATTTGCAAGTAATAAGGTATCAAGTCATGCCCAAGAACAAACCATGTTCTGTCAGTCAGCCCCATGACCCCGCAAACTTGCTAATCACTTTTTCACTCGATTTGCATGGTTAGGTCTGCATTGTACAGAAGAATGATACCAAGAAGATGTATGCAATGAAATACATGAATAAACAGAAGTGCGTGGAGCGCAATGAAGTGAGAAATGTCTTCAAGGAACTTCAGATCATGCAGGGTCTGGAGCACCCCTTCCTGGTTAATCTGTGGTAAGTGGTTTTACCCAGCCTCTGAATGGAGACCTTCTCCTCTTTATTCCCACAGACTGTTACATAAACACCTCTTGATTTCTTGCTGGGCATTTGAAACATCTTCACTACACTATTCATCTGGGGCTTTTGTTCTCCGTTTTAAACAATGTCTGTGACTCTGTCTTTATAATGAAGGAAAGGCTTTATATGGAAGGAAAATTCTGTTTTATTATTGCCAATAAATACTCCTCAGTTGAGTTCAGAGCTTTGCAGAGTTCTTCTTGTTCTTGAAGTCAATATTTTTTGAAACTTTGTAATTAAATGAGCAGGAACTAAAGGAATTAGTTCAGATGCCTTATAACTTCTTGGAGAATTTTTCCCCAGAAATAATAGAGGAGGCATTTGGGGTACAAAGCATGGACTCATTGGTGGAAATGAGGTTGATCTCTCATACTTTCTCCAGGTAATAACTGTCAATAAAACTAGTTACTTTGTAGCATATTTTTTTTTCTTTAGGTTTTTGCAGTAGAGTATGTGTATGTATTGGAGAGGGGAGAGGCGGAATATAAAAAACCAACCCCCAGAGCAGATGGCCATGTCCCAATCCCCTCTCTTCTATTCTCCTCTCGGGATTTTGGGCATGAATGCACATCTGTTTATTATTATTATTATTTTTATTATTAAGAGGTTTTTGCCATAGGGTGCATGTGCTTGCCTGAGAGAGAGACAGAGACAGTGAGAAGGGAAGTGAGAAACCACCCCCCAGGGGATAGCCACACCACACCTCTGCCCCATTCTCCCCCCAGGATCTTGGGTACATATGCACATCCGCCCAGATGATTTTCAGGTCACCAGGTCGGAGACTCAGACCGCCTTTGGCCATGTAGGAGTCCAGTGATGTAACCACTGTGCCATCTGCTGGCCCCTCTGCCATGATTTTTAAGTTACCAGGTCCAGCACTTAAACTGTGACCAGCCACATGAAATTCCAGCACCTTAATCACCACACCACCCGCTGGCTTCCCTGTGGCATACTTCTTAAACGCCTGTGAGCTGGAAAAGGCTAAGTGTCGCCTTTCTCACCGAATAGGGTTTAACAGAACTGGGCTAACTTAAGTCAGTGGTTAGACATCGAAGCCATTAGCACAAGCCAGTGCTTAGAAAATGGGGAGGCTTGCAGTGTCTATTACCTCCTGTTCTTTTCTTGTGTGTCAAGGGTCTTTATGTATTTCCTTCATTTTACTCTACATTTTAATGCATCCATTATGTTAAGAGCCAGTCCTTAAAGTTAATTCAGTGTGACTGTTATTTAAATATGCATACCCAGCAGTTCTTACCAGCAAAGGCAAAGAAAAAAAAAAAAAAAAAAAAAGGAGGAAGTCTTTATCTAGAGAATACTAATGGAAAAATAATTGAGATTTCAGTATGTGTTTAGGGACATCCTTCTGGAGGAATCAGTGCATAAAACCTGCCTCCATCCATCTTTCATTAATACAGTTCACTTAATATACAGTTTGTTCAAAGCCTCTATGCCACGGCTGAAAAGAAGATGGTTCTGTGTGACTTGGAAATAAGTCTATTATAATTTGTACAAGACTCAGACGTGGCAGTCTAATTTGGGCTCAGGCTCAGTGTGTTTCATCAGCATTTCAGAGTGGCTTATTCAGAATGCCACCATGTAGAAAGGTACAATGGATGCAGCTCTCTCTTCCGCATCTTGAGCAATCATCAGGTTACCTTTGTTCCCCACCTCTCTCTCCACCTTGAGAATGACGAGGTGCCTCCTTTTGTTCAAAGTCACATTTTCACTTCTTCAACAGTTCAACCAACTAAGGTTCTCATTGTAAGATCAGGAACCTTTCATAATGTTTCAGCACTTTGCCTTTGTCTTTCATTGCCGTGTGGGCAAAGGTGGTTTCATCCTATTCCTAATTTTTTAAAACGTGGGTGTTATAAGGCATTAACTGGTTGAAGTTTAGAGGTTTTGTGATGATATTTGCTAACCTGGCATTGTTCCAGACAACATCCTGTTCTCTATGCTCGCTGACCGGGTCATAGCATATTGTGTATCCTAGTTTTTCCTCCTCCTCTCCGCACACTGAACCTCACAGTGGATCACTGGGCACCATTAACACTGATGTAGACAGAGACCACATCTCCCTACATGATTCTAATGCCATCCTTGGAATTGGCAGCTGGGGGGGGCATTCTCTTTTTTGGAGAGGTTTTTGCTATAGTGTGTATGCACTTGCCAGAATGACAGAGAAAGACAGAGAGACAGAAAGCAAGAAATCACCCCTCAGGGGGGTGAGGGGATGACCACACTGCAATCCCTTCTCCAGCCTCCTCTCGGGATCTTGGGTACGCATGCACACACACCCAGCGTGAGTTTAAGCCACCGGGTCTGGGACTCAAATCGTGGTTGACTACATGGGAGTCCAGAGACATAGCCATTACTCCAACTGCTGGTCCCAAGGGGGGCATTCTTAATAGTGCAACAGGAAACACTTTAGTCTTTCAAAACTTGAGATAAAGAACTTTATAAATATTTATTATTCCATCTAATAAATGCTTTCTGCCCTATGCATAAAGAATGTAAATGAATTTTGCTTTTTTCTTTTCTTTTCTTTTTTTTTTTTTTTTAAGGATTTTGCCATAGGGCACATCCACTCTCTGGAGATGAGAGCAACAATGAGAGGAAAAGTGAAAAATCACCTCTAAGTGAGGTTGGCGAAACTGCAGTCCCTTCTCCTCCACGCTCCTCCTAGGATTTTGGGCACACGTGCCTATGCGCTCAGTGTGATTTTCAAGCCCCTGGGTCCAGGACACAAACTGTAGTTGGTCCTAAAGGAGTCCAGCACCTTAACCACTCTGCTACCTGCTGGCATCCAATTTTTCCACGTCTATTAAGCATCTTGCAATGCTTCTGAAGTTGTGATGAGGAAAATCTATGTGATCATGTTAAAGTCACATTGTTTTAAGACCGGGTTAATGTGTGCAACTTGGGCTGTTTTGATGAATGAATGAGATACAGTGTTATGCCAGTACGCAGTGAAAAGGAACATTTGACTTACAACTGTTTGCACTCCGTCCTTGCTCTGCAAAGGTATAGCATTCTGAATTTCTGATGAACCATTGTATATCCAAAAGACACAAATTTTTTTTTTGGTGGGGGGAGAGGTTTTTGCTGTAGGGACAGGTGTGCTCTCCAGAAAGACAGAGAGACAGAGAGACAGAAAGTGAGAAATCACCCCGCCCCAGGGGGGAAGGCCACACCACAATCCATTCTCCTCTTGGGATCCTGGGCACACATGCACACGTGCCCGGAGTGAGTTTAAACCACCAGGTCTGGGACTCAAACTATGGTCAACTACATGGGAGTCCAGCGATGTAGCCATTATGCCATCTGTTGGTCCCCCTCAAAAGACATAAATTTAAATGGTTCTTGGCCCCATGGCTCATGGGGAGTTATATGTGTAAAGTGGAGATGATCTTCAACTCATTTTCATTAAGAACCTCAAAAAGAATGTGGTTCAATAACATATTCTTTTTGAGGTTCATTATTCCACCATTATTATGCAAATTTTTAAAAAGTGAAAAAAAAAGAAATATTCTTCAATATATTTTATATTTATCAAGTTTTTATGTCCTGGATTTAACTATTAGATTTATCCTTACATCCCCAAAGTCACAGGAGCTAATTTCCTGAAGAACTATATGATTTATAAAATAACAGCAATAGTGTCTAAACCCCTGTCCCCTTTGTATCTCTATCTTGCTGATGTGCTAGGTAGGTTTTTCACTAATCTCACCCATGTTCAAAATGTGTCTAACTTCTGGTGATGTGTTCAGAAAATTCTGGTTTTCAAGCCAAGAGAAAACAAATCATTTCTCTTTTAAGCAGATTTTGAACTACTTTGGTGTATGTGTGTCATTTTATATATGTGTGTGTGTGTGTGTGTATGTGTGTATGTATGTATATATATATGTATATATATGTACACAACTTTCTTGATATATATTAGTTGGTCAGGAAAGTCCTGATGTATTTTTCTGCATTTTTCTATGCAAAAATGCATCATGACTTTCTTGATAACCCATATGATACTGGAAAACGTTTTGTTCATTGCAATTTGAAAAACAGAAAATTACATAAAAAATGAAAATTCTAATAATTCTTGAAACAACCACCCATAACATGCTAGTGTATTATTTTCCAGTAAAATATCTGCATTTAGTTTTTGTGTTTCTGCTCATTCATTAGCCCCACACATTTATATGTATATATTTACTGTGTGTGTGTATATATGTGTATATTTTCATGTCTGTATTGACTGAGCAGCCGAAACAAGTAATAATTAGAGCTGACAGATAAAATACAGGATATATTGTTATATACATCATCTTTAAATAAACAATTTTTAGTTCATGTCCCAAGTATAAGTCCTAATTTTACTGAAAATTATTATTTTTCAAAATTTCAAATGTGGGTATCTTCTACTTTTATTTGTTAAACCTGACTAGGCTGATTGTAACAGAGGCCCAGACTGTGGGGGTGCAGTGGTGGGGGTGTGTGAGCAGCACCCCAATTTCCCTGGCATGACTCTTAACTGGAGGAGACAGACAGTTACTGAAGAGCGTGTGAACATATAAATTGTGAGAAGTGTACAAAGGGACTGTGTGGGTGTGTGTGTTCTGGGGTTTCAGGGAAAGACATTAACCAGTCTAGAAACAGGAGTATTAAAGGGGAAGAACACTCAGAATTAAAAAGCCAATCTCACCAGTCTCCAGGGACCTGTCTCCCCTCAGGAACACAGGCTTCAGATACAGGCCACATTATCAAGTGAAGGCTGCCAGACAGGACTGGCATCCAGGAAAAGTAAATGAAATCTTCCCGTGAGTCCGTCCCTGAGGGCTGTTAACAAAGCCCTGGCAACCCTCAGCCTGAAAACAAATAGGCCGCAGTGAGGCCCTGTACAGCCGTTCCCCAGGTGGCTTCTGTTAATTGAGATTAAGGCT